GATAGATATAAGACTACTAAAGGAAAATAACATCCAGAAAAAAAATACAGGGATTAATAAGAATTTTGCGAATATAGTTGTACTGTACGGTAATTGAAACACTACAACGCAAACATGACGTTTTCCATATGCACAAAAAAATTAAAGAGGTACAGTATACCAGAAAACAATGCAATACAGGCACAGTTGTAGACATTTAAGACAAGATTTTGACTACCATTGAAGATAAATTACGAAGATGGAAAGAATATATCCAAGAATTATTCGAAGATGTAGCACGAACTCCGACTGAAATAAACAATCCCTACCGCCCAGAAATAACAAATGAAGAAGTAACTATGGCCATTAAGCGGATTAAAGATGGAAAATTATCAGGACCTGATGAGGTGCATGATGAAATTTTAAAGCTATTAGAGGCACACCAAATCACAGCTCTTACGAAACTATGCAACAACATCTACGAGACTGGTTACTTACCAAAAGACTGGCTACTATCAATATTCATTCCACTTCCTAAACAAGCCAACGCTAGAAAATGTGAAAAACATAGATTAATTAATTTGAGGAGCCATGTACTTATCCTTATTATCATTCACTCGCGCATATACACCAAATTAGAAGAATAACTGAGTGAAGCTCAATTTGGATTCAGAGCAGGACTCCGAACGAGGGAAGCAACTTTTTAGTTTGCAAGTTCCAATACAGAGAATCAGGGATGTCAATTGTAATGTGTATGAATATTTCATTTCATATTTGATTTCGAGAAGGCATTTGATAAAGTCCCACATAGGAAACTAATCGATATCCTAAAAACATCAGGACTCGATGGAAAAGTTATAAGACTGATCTCAAACTTATATCTCCAAAAAAAGCAACAGTGCGATTAGAAAATGAACTGTCCGAGATCTCCACAGTCGAAAAAGGAGTTAGACAGGATTGCACATTGTTACCGGCATTATTTAACATATACTCTGAAAACATCTTTAGAGAGGCCTTGGACGAATCAGAAGATGGGATTGCTGTAAATCGTTAACTTTAACGGCCAAATTACAATAGTCCGTTACGTTACACCGTTATAAAGAGTGGAAAAATGCGATTTTAGCAATATTAAGGATATTTGGGATCACAGCTACGAAATAAAAACTCGTATGGAGTAGAAAGTTGGAACCTTACAGAAGATAACATAAAACGATTAGAGGCATTTGAAATTTGGCGCTACCGACGTATGTTGAGGGTCTCATATATACACCACACAAGTAACCTAACTATTCTTCAGACAGTGGCGCACCCAGAATTTTCCTGAGAGGGGGGGGTTTGGTTGGACACCGAAATTTTTTTTGTGCTACCTCCACCATTTTAAGCCTTTCAAATTTGTGAGTAACAGTGTCGGAATAGTACCCTGGGGGAGGGGGTTGACCCCCCAAAACCCCCATGGGTGCGCCACTGTCTCCAGATGCTAAGAAAAGACAAAAAAATTATTAACACCGTAAAGAACAGGGCTTACTTCGGTCACATCATGCATAATAATAAATACCGACTTCTACAGTTGATTCTACAAGGCAAGATTGAAGGTAAGGGAGGCCCTGGATGTAGACGTATATCCTGGCTGGCCTTAGGAAGTGGACTGATCTAACGTCAACTGATCTATTTCGAGCTGCTGTGAATAGAATAAGATGGGCCAATATGGTTATTAACATCTCTAAAAGATATGCACATTTAGAAGAAGATAAAAGTATAAAATAGGTACTTATATTTTTATTTTCTTGGTCGTGAGGCGCAAAACAATATTTTTAAATTAATTTTGAATATTTTTATTTTTTTTTTGTTCTGTAATGTTTTGACTGTTTATATTATTTTTTTTTTATTTTATTAAAGATAATCTAATATTTTAAGAAAAATACCCCTTACTTCTCAAAAATATTGCAATCAAAAATATTAAGTTAAAAAAGACCCCACCATACTAGATTTAATATTTTCTTTGAACTCCTATACAAATAAAATGCATTATAATTTTATGAAAAACCCAACAACCTTGATGAATAGATTGTGACTACAAATACGTAGTCGATTGTTATTTAGCTCAATTTGAGAGGTAACTGGCGAATAAACAAACGGGGTCATTCCTATTTTATATGTTTGAAGCTGTGCATTAATTGTGATATAAACAAGTGAAATCTAGTTTTTGAAGAGTTTGTAATAGAAATTGTGATATGAAAATTGTTCAAAAGCTATTACTAGGCTATGGGGTCATTCTTGCAAACAAAAATAAATCCGAAAGTAAGTTTATTAACAGTTTATTATTATTTTAAAGCTTTGTTTATTTCTTAATTGATTATCAGCTGTTGATGGTTGTCTGTGTTTATGAATCATTGACAGGAGGGAGGAGCCACCGATTGTGGAAAGTGGGGAGTTTTTCACACATGTAATGAAGTGAAATGTGAATGTGCTGGCAAAGCAGTCTTGCCAATTTTACAATATTTCACAGTAATAGTTTATAAATTCTAAATATTTATTTAGTTGTATAGATTTTAAATCAGAGCTAAAGATAATTATAAAAATTTGTATGTAAATATAATTTATAACAATATATTAAATATACATTGTTCTTAAAAATACGGACGAAAAAAAAAAACAAATAAATTATATATTAAAAGTTATAATTTAAAATTTTAAGTCGCTTATAAGTTCTTGTAGTTCTGCAGGATCTTAGATGACTGAAATATTTTCCATCGATGGATATTCCTTTGTTCTGCCAGGTCATATACTTATATGTATATATATATATATATTATATATATATATATATATATATATATATATATATATATATATATATATATATATATATATATATATATATATATGTATATATATACGTTCGGAAAGATTTCCGCGGTTAGTACAATAAAACCTAGAGCTAAGATTAATATTATTACTAAAATTAATATTAAACTCACCAGTCTTCCGGGTTGAACCGCGTCGTAATCCATTTTGCCAAGCTTTCGGTATCCTTTCTGATGCCTTCCTCAGGGCTTCCGAGGTCTCAGTCTCCCGAGCCCCCAGACACTGCTACACTGTTCACTATTCACGGCACGATCACTACTACTATAGTATTAGTGATCGTGCCGTGAATAGTGAACGATCACTACTACTATAGTATTAGTGATCGTGCCGTGAATAGTGAACAGTGTAGTAGTGTCTGGGGGCTCGGGAGACTGAGACCTCGGAAGCCCTGAGGAAGGCATCAGAAAGGATGCCGAAAGCTTGGCAAAATGGATTACAACGCGGTTCAACCCGGAAGACTGGTGAGTTTAATATTAATTTTAGTAATAATATTAATCTTAGCTCTAGGTTGTATATATATATATATATATATATATGTATATATATATATATATATATATATATATATATATATATATATATATACTTCATCTAATTTAGATAACGACTTACGTCATTATATACGTCAGAGATCGAAGTTGACATAGTTGCCAAAGTATAAAAAAATCCTGACTCCATTTTAAATCAAATAGATTACATAATTATTACAAAAGTATTACCATCTCTTTACAACGACTATTTAAATTCTTACGTGACATTTTTGAAATAAAACACACTAATTTTGTTCTAAAAAGAACAGATTTTATTAAATAGTTAAAAATATAAAACAAGAGATATTCACTTTAAAATTCAAAATAATGAAGTACAAAAAGTGTCATCACCGCAACTGTCAAATAAGGGTTACCAATTTATGCCAAAATTTTACCTTTGTTCGATTACAGTTACAGTGTGTTCCGAACAAATGTTCTTGATAAAAACGCTTTATAATGCATTTATACAAATTAAATGAAACATATTATTGTGTATTTCTTTAAGTTAACATTAATAGAAATTTTTAAATATTATTTCTACGCGTATATAATAAAATATGTCTAGTGGCTGTAATGCCAGTGTACTCGGTAAAGTGATTCTAAAAAAGAACACACCTAGACCCTAAATATTTTGTGTTGGTATCATGTGACGTCACTGGCTATGACGCCGATGACGGGCACCGTTATATAAATTAGATGAAGTGTATATATATATGTATATATATATATATATTATATATATATATATATATATATATATATATTATATATATATATATATATATATATATATATATATATATATATATGATTATATATCTTAATTCTTAATTTTCATAGTTATGTTTTTTAAATACTTGTGGATTTAATTATAAAGTTGATTTTTTATTGTATTTCACGTTTTCTCTGATAATTAATCATTAAAGGAGATAAGTTAATTATAATTTGTATATTATTATAAATTCATTGTTTTCAAACAATCATTATGAGATAACATTTAATTATTCAACGTTATCCAATAATAGGCTATCTACATTATTATTATTTTGTAATCATAAAAAATTAATATTTTCGAATAACAGCTTGGTGATAATTTACTGATTCTGACACATAGCACACTTACCACAAATGTAATTTTATCTATGTTCTGACATCTCTGACAACACTGTTTGTGTGAATTATTTTTATATTTTTACAGAATCTTTTTTTCTCTCATGTCATGAAGTTTAGAGCACTGTGCGCTTAGCGTATGCTATGCATAGCATAGGAACAAACAGAATGATTGTGGCTCATGGTTTGCAATTTGCAACATTGCAATTTGTGTCAAATGTTGTGGCTGGCAACTTGGCAACAGTAAACACTAACATTTAACTGAATGTCAAGTATAAAACTTATCAGCTAAAGCACTGCAAATATTCCAAACAAGTTTTTATAAATATAATTACCTTAAAACGGATAATATGAGGTCAAAGTATAAAAGTGTAGAAAACTAATTTAAAATCAACAAAATTTCACCTAACAATCGATGTTCTTGGTTGGATAAATTTATAAAATAAACATAACCTCTTAAATTAGTAACCTAAAAAATTCTGAAATGCCATTAACAAATAATTTTAATGCTTTCTTAGGGGCTGCTTTTCTGGGGGTAGTTAGTGCTGCAGGTATGTTTCTCGTTGAGCATTATAGGCAAGACAAAGTACGCCATGCCATGGCAAAAGATTTAGCTCGTTTGGACCAAGAACTTTCCCAAGTTAGAAAGGAACTGGATAATTTGCTTACGAAAACTAGCGAAAAGTGAGTATGATTTTAATTAATACATCCAATATTTTGATTTGCAAATTTCAGTAACTAGTGGCCTTTGGTTAATTTTTACTGGTGGTCCTTCTTTGCTGCCTCATAATAATTGATTTAATTCCTGTTCATGGTCAAATAGCAACATTGCTTGACATTTTAAAAGTTAAAATAGTATAGTATGTGACTTTTATAAGGTAATTGCTTTCTTCCCATAGTTTAATATTTACATTAATATTGAATGAAATTTAGACTATTTTTGGCATACCATTGTTCACATAATTTTTCAATATTATTAGTGTAATATACCTTTTTCTACTCTCTTACTAGTAAATTGTATATTACCTACTATTTTGATGCTAAGTAAATGCATCATAACAGATACTGACATGTAATGACTAGCACGTAATAAAAAAAATTACGCTTCAGTTTTATAAAAATGTGTAATATCACATAAGCCTCGTAAGTCAGTTGGTCAAGTTACCATGGAAACGAATTAACAGACGTTATTTTGACAGATTAAAAATTATTAATATGTCAGTGTAAATATAGTGGTAATTTAATTTTATTTTTATAAACGAAAATAATCGTAGAAAAAGTATAGTATGCAACTTGAGTTGTAAGCTTATTACATGCTTGTAAAATTACTGCGCTCGCCGCTAAGCGGCTCGCGATTTTTACTCGCATGTAATAAGCTTCTTACAACTCTCGTTATGTAATATACTATTAATACCGTGTAGTGTTTTTCATCCTATCTTATTCTTAAATCTTATATTGGCCTTAATCCCTTGAGCTCACATTTTGTGTTTTTTCATTGTTGGCTAGATGTCTTATTTTTACAGTTCTACAGCTTTTCTTTTATTCTTCTAGTTTTTATTTATTTTTTTATTTTTTTAGTTATAAGAACAATATTAAACTTTGCACTAAAATCATTTTCAAGTAGTTCATCTATACATAAGATATCTCAGACAATAATTTTATTTGAAATTTGAACGTTTGGAATTCTGCATAAATATAGTCAAGTTATCCATATCCATAAAAATAGTTGCCACTATAGTATGTGTAGGTAGTAGTAGTAGGTCTACTTCAAGGATGCGGTCCACCTGTGCATATAGCTCTATTATAGTTGCAGTCTACAGATACAAAATTCCTAAAGGTTGTCCAAAATAATGAAATGCAAGTATACTCTCATTGAAAAAAATATTTATACACCAGTAATAAGCATTTGGAGGAAAATAAATGTAAAATGAAAGGGGACTCTAATGCTTTACAAAAAAATGCATCAGAACAATTCACACAAAAACTTTATATCTACACTTCTAATTATTTACAAAACAATACAGCCTAATTAAAAGAGGGGTTATTTATGTAAACCCTTTTGGGAAAAGATTATGGTGTTATTTATATAATAGTAAAGAAACAAGTTTATTGTATATTCCTGTAAATTTTTATTATTACGTAGCAATAAACATTTTGCCTACAAACAGTTGGTTGATTTTCTTGTATGCAAACCCATCAGAAAAGATTATCGTGTTGTTTAGCCACACAGGTAGACTGCATGTCTTGTTAACCACAAGCTAAAGCAGAAATGTGGTGATAGATCCCATATTATAGTGGCACCTATAAATATATACAACTTCCTTTTGCTTCTTTCCTGAACCTGAAACCCAAAACCTTGCCATAACAGTTGCACTTGGTATAAAATACAACTCAAATTGAATCAGCAGTTTCAGTGTTTGATTATATAATAAATATGGCAATATCTCTTTTTGTTTTGCTCATTTAAAGAGATACAAAATATCTAAATTAAACAATTAATAAAAATCATTCACATGAACCATCAAGCTAGTTAAACTATAGCTAATTATGAATTTTTACAGCATTATGTTTCAAATTTAGTTCAGTTACTTTATTCTACTAAGAGATTTTTTCACAATTTGAAATATGATAGAGATGATAATACAGTAGACCCCATCTATAACGAGAACTGAAATGGCAGACTAATTACCTTGTTATAAGCAGATTACTTACCTTGTTATATCCAACAACAATCATACTGTGCATACATATGAATATTTAGTTTTCTAAAACATTAACTTTCTATAGTGAAGCCATTAGGAGCAATATAAGATGCTAATAAATATTGTTTGAATGGCGTTTTTGAAAAAAAGTTGTTTACTTTTATTGTCAATGATATACATTAAAAAAAAATCTGTATTCTCTAAATCTGTATAAAGAGTATTTTCAAGAATAACATAAACTACTGCTTCTGCAATTAGAAGAACACTGTCATTTTTGACTGCTTTAAATTGTCCAGTATTCTATCTATCATATTGTCTAAAGATGTGAAACAGTTTTATGCTTCTTCATTTACATTTTGTCTTTGGATAAAGTTTTTGACAATTTTTAAAACACTTTCCACATCTTGTCTATTAGGACCTATATTATTAGGTGTGAATGGTCAACCCCTACAATGACACTTGTGAATCATAAATTGTAAATTTCCCACTAAGAATCATAAATTGTAAGAAGTTTATTGCGGGCGGCAGTTAAAAAGGGTATTTATTTATAGCTACGGCCGGGCCAAAACGTAAAAAACATGTTTTTCAATCTTATTTTCTCTCGTTATAACCAAATTTACCTCGCAATAGAGGGTTATAGTTCAATAGAAATTTCATGGGACATCTAATGTACCTCGTTATAAGCAAAACCTCTTAATAACTGTGTTCGTTATAGAGGGAGTATACTGTATCATTTCAAAATTTAATTCACTATAATAATATAGTTTTAGACTATCAAAGGTTTTGTCTAATGTTTTGTAACTGTGTAGTTAGAATTATACCACTATTACCAGGCAACAAGCTTGTGGCAAATAGGGCTATTCGGAACCATGGATTGTAAGTTGGATTAATTGTTGATAAAATTTTAAAGTTGTTTTAAAAATTAGCTGAGGTTCTAATGGCTCACCAAAATATTTTTAAAATACTGGGTATTTACTATTTCTTACCTTTTATTCTTTTTAAAATGTCATGCACCATCATCATTCTCATTTCCTTCTACAACTATACCTATTATTTTTTGTTTCTCTATCAGAGAGTATAGAATACATACCAAAGTGTGTATTCTTTACCTAGTTATTTCACAATTTTTCTGTTCCATCTTATCTTTTGAATTCAATCAATTTATACCCCCCTTCTTTTAAGTGCATCAATTAACTCCATACTCTTACCTGTAAGACTCTAAGATTCCAAGACCCTATCCTGATTTTTATAACCTATAATGGTGTTCCCTCTGAAATAGTCCTTACCAGAAACCTGAATAAAGGGTCAGTTTGCTTCCAAAATATTTTACCTCAGTAGATTCCATTATTTCAGTATAGTTTTAGATATATTGGAGACAGTCTTGGCATTATTATGTTCTTAAAATATTTTCGGACATTTGATGCCTGAATGCCTTTTCTATCAGCATCATGTTCTGCTCAATTTAGCTAACACACCATCAATACATCTAGAAGTACAGCCTTATTCTGTAATATGGATTGACCTGTACCTACAGAAAAATGAGTGGGTGTGGAGTAACTGCTTTTTAAAATGTCATGAGACATGCAGTTTTTTTAACACAGTTTTGTGGTACCAATATTTCAATCAGGAGACACTAGTGAAATAGATAATTACAAATTGTTTGTATAGATTCATCAGTAACGAAACTCTTATATAGTTTTATTTGCACTGAGTTGTATTTTTATTGCAAGGAATTATCGATCAGTAAGTAACACAGATTTAGTTAGAGAAAGTTGACTATGACATTGGTGTTTCAGACGAGTGTGCTTTGGAGAGAGTATATCATATGAAAGTCAAATACTGATTTGTCAAAGGCAGTTTATAGGCTGAATCACAGCATCTTACTAAAAATGATGTGTCTTTTTGGTTTTTTTATTCATACAGTAACCTGGTTTGCTAGTTTCTTATAAGGCAGGACTAACAGGTTCGAATTGGTAGTTATGTTATGTTATGTTAATATATTATCTGGTGTACTACGAGGTGGCCATTGTTCACCATTACTTTTTATTTTCATTGATATTTCATCATGTTTCAATAATAGTGACTTGCTTATTTGTAAATGACTTTCTTTAGATTCTATTAATGATTTAAACAGTCTAAGCGAATGGTGTCTAAACAAGAACTTGATTCTGAATGTAGTTAAATGTAATTACATAAGCTTCTATAAACAATAAAAAAACTGAGTTCAGAGTACATTATTGATAGCGATGCTCTTAAAATATTGTGATGTGAATAAAGTTCTAGGCTTAGCTTTTTCACTGCGTCTAGTTATTAAAGTAGTATGGTTTCTGGTAAGACTGTTTCATGCCTGTGCTAATCAACACGGTTCCCGCAGTCAGTCGATGAAGTACTATGGCATATAAATATGGTTCTCGCAGTGTATCAATACAGTGTATTCAGTACTGTATTAACAATTTTGTAGAAGTAACTATAAATTTGTTGCTGTTAGATTTTTGTAAAATAAAAAATAATAAATACACTGAAAAATTATCATTATTTTATTTATCATTAGTAATCGTAGCAACAAAGTAAAAAACTACAAACAAATGGTACACAAAACATTCAAATGCAAAATATAAATAAAAGTTTTGACTACATTAAAAGGAAAATTAAATAATTTTTATACAATGGTACTTTTCAAAACATGGTATAACATATAGAGGCAAATTTCAGGCTATGCAAGTATTGCAAGTATATGCAACTATAACTTGAGGCATGTTGAGGCTTGATTTTCTTATGTTCAGCAATAATTTCCTTAACAAGTAGTAATTGAAAATCTGCAAGTAGAATATTCTTTCCACTGGTAATATTATATAATATATGAGCATTTAACAAACTTAAGTCTAACAAATGAAAAAATAACTTTATACCACTTTATTGACTTTCTGATAGACTCAGTGCTAATGGGAAGCATGTAGGTTTTATGTACAGTCTCCATATTAC